TTACCTAATTGCTCCTTCTCTGAACTCCTGGAGCCATTAGTCTGGATAATGCTTTTGTAGTTTCTGAATAATTACTTCACAATTACCTTGGTTTGTCTGTTGCCGTTTCTCCTATTTTAACAACTTGTTACCAAATACAGTGACTATCTCTTCACCTGACTTCTTAAAAAAGTGACGTGTAAAGATTAATGCTGTCGTGTATAGCCCCGAAATTTCCCATCAATGGTAAAGGCTTGTCTCCAGCATTCCCTGCTCCAAAGGTCACCAGGGCCAGGGCCAGTGGCTGTCTCTCAGTTTGGGAGCTCTTCTGACCACCACCCATCACCTCTGCACATCTGATGCTGTCTTCTAGATGACAAGTTTCCAGCCAAGCTTTGACAGGAGGGCAAAAACGGGTCTCCTTCATTGTGGTTTATTTCCACAGTTGGTGCTAGTTCATTCCTTCAAGCAGTACCAAACTGAACCAACTTAATTCCCTACTCTCCTTATGAACATATCATACCAAAGCACAAAAGCTTTCTTTCTCAGCTACAACTGGCCTTTCTGTTCAGAAGTCATCCTGCATTGCTGGGAAATCAGTCCATTCAGCCTGTGTTAAGTACACGACTGGGTGGGGCCAGGTTGTTCATACTTTTCTTGTGGAAGATTCCCTCTGAATCATCAGATCCCTGTTCTTACAGGACAATGAACTATGAGAAATGCAAAACAGATCACTGAGAACTACCATTATTTCTTCAATTCTAAGATGCCACTGATTTAAAGATAAGCTATTTGGTTTTGTGGGGAAAAAATTACAAAATCAAATACACGTTTCAGAAATGAAGTGTGAAAAATACTGCATCTGAGAACAGGCAGCATGACTAACACGCTAATATATCAAGATATGACACCCTTCCTAGGAGATCATCATTAGAACCTCAGGTTACCAAGCCCTGTGACGCTATGTAAAACTGCCCTGGGGTGCACAGGTGAGCAGACCACCTTTTCCAGGAACGTGGAAGATTAGGCTGGAAGGATGGTCACCTGATACCACACTTACTGGTGATCAGGCAGATTTTAACAAGTCCTTAGCGGAAAGCATTTGTTTTAAATATTTAAAAATTGTCTGAATTTGCCCAGTTGTGCGATTGAATGTCACATTAGTCATGCCAGAAAAAAAACAATCCTGTATTTCTGGGTGTAGTCACAGAGACCCTCCCTTCCCTCACCCAAAGGCTTCCAACTGTAGCCAGTAAGGCTGCAACACAACTTCTCAGTTGAAGGCAGAGGACTGAGAGGCCCCCTTGAGGGCTGATATTCCATTAGGTAAAGAAGCAACAAGCTATGAGCAAAGTAAGAGTGGAATGCTGAAGCTGAAGGGAACACACTCTGCTGGTCCTGCCATGGTGCTAACTGGGAGCAGCCCTGTGTAGTATCAGCTAAGAGTATAAACCTCCTTCTTCCATCAGACTTTTCACTTATTTCATCTTTGCTATAGACACAAAACGCTCCTTTTGCTATTTTCAAGTGTTAGTAATACTGAGAGAACGTTCTCCATCTTCCTGAACTATTTCAAAAAATACAAAGCCCTCAAGATCATAACTTTCATCTTTTCCTGAAAATGGCTTCCATTTTGAGTGCTAGCTAAACTGAGTTCATTTAAGGAGGATTTCATCTTACTGATTACATCAACCTTAACTAAATGGCTCACTTTGAAGCTTCAAGTGGACTGGGCAATACAAAAGTGTTTCTGGTCCTCTATATAATAGGATCTAGGAAGTAAAACATCGATTACCATCCATTTACCCTTCAATGGTATCAATGCCTTTTGAAAACACTGAAATTCTAATGTTCTAGATATTAGTCTTTTCAGCTAAACCTCAAGCTATTTAACTAGTACAGTTTTTGATTATCAAATAGGACTTCAGCTTTACAGCATTCATCACAAACTTACCAGTATAACTAGTTAACTCTACCACTTTATCTTTCCCAGCTATGACCTTGTGTTGTGCAAAGACTGAACCTGTGGGCTTTGGTTTACTCCTCTGCAAAATGGGGGAAGCAGTGCTTGGCTCGAAGGAATGTTATGATCATACAAAGGATAGCATACAACATGGAAAAATTTCAATTCAGTCATTAGCTATTAACAACATACCTGGATCCTCCTACCCTTTTTGAATGATACAGATCTTGGGTGTACTCAATTTCAGGGACTTTAATTGGGACACATCCTACACAGATGAACAATTTTAAGAAAAACATGTTTCTTCCCAGATCCTAATAATTAAAATGCACATAAAATACTCAAAAGTCCAGGGCTCTAGGCCCAGCAGACACCACCAGCTGGGAGCAGGAAATCGGGCTTCACATCTTGCCATCTTCCCCCATGTCTCTGCGCTGACTTCATTGTATTGCTGCTGTGTAAAATGCCCTACCTTTTTTATGTGCTGTTAACTATGTTTACCCTTGAAGACTTCCTCCTTGGACATCTTAGAAACACTTTGTTCACTTCTCTTATGACACTCATCACAATAGACTGGTTGTGTTTACATGAGGTTGCTGTGTTTTAGAAGGCAATTTCTACTCATTATTGTTTCCCCTGGGTCCTGTTAGCATGGTGTCTGCTATACTCACACCTTCTGAATGTTCATTAGATACCATTCTAAGCAAACCAAACAGGCCTTTATTATTTTGTGTGATTTTTTGAAATCACATATCTCAGTTATCCTTTAACACTTCAGGTGTTTTAGAAAATGAGAAACAGATTTTTGCCCCCCTAAAGCCTATCAGTCAGTAGGTCTCCACTCTTCCCTATGAGTCATATAAAGGGGAAAAAAAACAAAAACCCAGTGGTATGTTAACAGGAGCCAAGGAACTAGAGATTTTCTGCTATTATCATTTTAGACCTACTATAATATTTTAATTTGTAAGTATTCATATTTTATAAAACTCACTTTATATTGAAAAGTCTTCATTGTCTTATCTATCAATAAAATAACCCCTCCACCCCCGATTTTCTAGATAAGCCTTTGCCTGATACCCAGTGTTGAGATTACATCATTTTGCACTGTGTATGATACCATGCAAACATAAGGATATAAACTGTGAATTCTAAAACATGACTGACAACAGGACCTGTAAGATTACACTTTAAGACCAAAACTAAGGTAGACAAGGGAAAACAAATAGATGTTTCACAGTTCTTAACAAAAAGAAAAAAAAACCCTTCAAAACCAGCCAGCAACAGCAAGTAAAGCTTAGACAGTGTTTACTAAGTGCCCGTACATTTCACCTTAACCCTATGAGGTAGTTATGTTGTCATCTTCATTTTACAGACGAGGAAATGAGGGAGAGGTGATATAATCTGCCTGCAGTCACAAAAGGAATAGAAGAGTTAGGGTTCAAATAAATGCAGTCAAGCTGGAAGCATCATGGTTATACTCATGACATACTGTAGCTCAGTGGTCACCAATCTGGCTGCCAATGTAGGAAGACGTGGGTTCAACACCTGGGTGAGGAAGATCCCTTGGAGAAGGGAATGGCAACCCACTCCAGTATTGTTGCCTGAATATCCCATGGACAGCTGAGCCTGGTGACCTACAGTCCATCGGTTCACAAAGAGTTGGACACGATTTAGCGACTAAACAACTACTACTCTATATACTACGTCAGTAAGAGAGCCAGTTGCTTTCTTGAACAAAACCCCTATTCAATGGTATGCATATGGGTCAGCTGGAAAAATTATAGACCAATCACCATCTGACTAGAACCTTTATTATTTCAGAAATAAACATCCTGAAGTGAGGTGGTAGGAACAGTTTTTTCTGGATTACTGTAATAAATATTTGTTGATACACCATCTCAATAATCATACACTTATTTCAATCCTAATAACTTCCAAAAATAACTCTTCTGTATCAAAAACCTTACAAACGGCACAAGATAACAGTCTATGGAGAAGGAAAATTCTGGCGGGGGAGAACTCTAATGAAGTCTTTTCTCCATTACATTTTTGATTGATATAGCTCATGAAAAAAGCCTCACTTTGCCTTCCTTTTTGAATGCAAGGAATCAAATCAAAGGGAAAAACTTTCATAATCTCAAGTATAAATCACAGACAGGTTTTTCTGATAGTTTTAAAGCTTGAATAAATGAGAACGGCAAGCACGCATTCCTTTAAGCATCTCAATAAATTTGCAAAAATTTCCAGCAATTATGCACATACTGTTTGTATACTTAAAATGCAATAACATTGATGCTTTGAGTATTTTTTTCCTGAGTGTTTTAAGGATATTTTGTTCCAGGTGATTCAAAAGACTTACAACATACATGTTATAACAGGAATTCTCCGTGTGGTTAGCATTTTGAACTCTCCTAACAGTGTGAGACAACAGGAAGTCAAACATGATCCCATCTGTATTATAAGGAGAGCCTGGAGAATCATCTATGTCTTTGTTATCTGCTCAATGTGTCTGGTAGGTTCAGCAGAGATACAGTCATGACTTGTTTCCAAATGTCCAGACTCCCTCACTTACCCACCACCATTACCTAAGTGCTGAGTATTCAAAGAAAAACTGCAGGTGAACCTTTACTTCTCTCTGGTCCCTTTACCAAATCCTTTCATCACTTATGACATTACTTGTTAATAATCCACATTCCAAAAAGAAAACTGCAGGTACACAAGTTTGTGAACTTTCACTAAACCAAAAAAATTTTAAAATAGATAAAACACTCAAATTCCTGTGAAACAAACTTTGGTTTTCACAATCAGAACATTTTAGAATTACTCAGACACAAGAATTGAAAATGCATATGCTATCTGGAAGAGAACTAATGAATTTATTCTCCAGGAGAAAAGCAGACCTGAAGCATCACATTACTGGAACGTTTGAAACACGATGACAAGTTCTTATCTTCTAAACTTCAACGAAAGCTGCTTGTACAAACTATTTAATGAGTATCTGCCCCTATTAAACAAGCCAGATATCTGATGTATTAAGGAAGTCAGAAGCTGAGTCACTTCACTTCTTCCTGTTGCCTCCAGTTGCTAGAATAGTGGCAACACGCATAAATATGTTTAATGTATCCATGTAGATTCCCAGCATCCTAGAAAAGAAATTATGTCCATTAAATATGATGTAGTTCTTATAACAATGACAAAAACTATTCCTTAATGAAGTAGAGAAAGAGCAATACTGATTATATGTCCTAGATATATGAGATGGAAATTAAAAAAAAAGATGTCAACTAAGGAAGTCCTGGGCTTTCCTGGTGGCTCAACGGTAAAGAATCTGTCTGCTAATTCAGGAGATGTGGGTTCGATCCTTGGGTCTGGAAGATTCCCTAGAGAAGGAAACGGCAACCCACTCCAGTATTCTTGCCTGGAATATTCCAGGGAGAGAAGAGCCCGGCAGGCTATAGTTGGTGGGGCTGCAAAAGTGTCGGGACACTTAGCCACTGAACAACAAAAAAGGAAGTCTTAGACTAGAAAACTGTTAAGATTTTCTTTTGACAGATTAATCTTTGTTGAAGGGCAGTTTAAAAAAAAATCTTTATATTCTCTGGTACTCTGAGTACAGTTATTTTGTTAAAAAAAAAAGAAAGGGTGACAGACAATGAACTAATCAAAACAAGACCAAAGAAACACCTTTACAAAAATGTGTTAGATCCAAGTCTGGCATTTTAAAATATATTTCCTCATTGCCTCCCTGCATCACCTCCAAAGAAACTTGCTACAAATCTGTAAGCACTATAGGAACACTTAAAAAAACCCATTATATTAAGTTTTAAATAAAGAAAAATAAGTTACTTTTAGAAATGTCATAGACACTATGAGACTCACGGAAATTACTTAAATAAAATAACTTACTTTGGTGGAGACACCAAGGAAAGGAAACACAATCATTATACAACACTTAATATCAGCTACACAGTTGAATATTTCCGAAATGGAATTTTCAATTTTTAATAAAAAATTGAAGTGTTTTTAATTTTTAATAGGTTTTTCTATCAAAAATTTAAGTCAATTATGTACAGTTTCCAAAAACACTTGACTAAATTCATGGGGTTGCAAAGAGTCGGACACAACTGAGTGACTGAACTGAACTGAATACATCTTTTCTTCACTTTTAAAGTCTGTTAAATATAAACTACAAAAATAATTTACTGACAAGAGTTTTATAAGGCTAATTAACAAAAATAGGTACAATACTCTGAATCAACTGAATACACACCTAATTATCACACTTAGTTGCAATATAATCAAATGTTCCGTGTACATATAGCTTACTAAGGAGAGAGACAAGACCAAAAAATTAATAGCAATAAAATACTAAAATTCAACATGGTTGCAGGCTGAACTCAAAAGATATGTCAAGTCCTAATCTGTGTTATCTGTGAATGTGACCTTATTTTTGGGTCTTTGTGAATGTAACTAAGATGTGAATTAAGAAGAGGTAACACTGGAGAAGGGTGAACCTTAGTCCAATAAATATGGCATCATTATGAGAGACATAATATGCTGGGAAAGACTGAAGGCAGAGGAGAAGGGGATGACAGAGGATGAGATGACTGGATGGCATCACCGACTCATGTTGCCGTCCATGGGGTTGCAAAGAGTTGGACACAACTGAGTGACTGAGACACAGGCAGCATATCACATGAACACAGGAGCAGAGGTCAGAGTGACGAACGCTAAGAACGCCAAGGATGGCTGGTCACGACAAGAAGCTAGGAGAGAGGCATGGGCCAGATGCTCCCCTGGAACCCTCAGAAGGTACCAGCCCTGAGGATACCCTGATGTCACACTTCTGGACTCTCGAACAGAATAAACTTGTTGTGAATCACCCAGTTTATATAATTTGTTACAGCAGCCCTTGGAAACTAACAGTCATAAAACAAAATTGGCCAAACCAACACAAACATCCTTATGCAACAAAGAAAAGACATTAAAGGCTACTTACGAATTGATGGGATCATATTTCTGAACTCCATACACTGGTACTACTTCTGCACGCTTGATTACTTTCTGTGTATCATACAGAAGAAACATGCTGAAAAGAGCTAATCCACCATAAACTGCCACTGAGTACAGAGTGGCACCAGCCACAGTGGTAGGTGGAAGAAACATCGATCCTGAAATCAAAATGGGAAAAAAATTCTTTTGAAAGGATTTTTCTGTAACTAGGATTTATATCACAGAACTTTTTCTTTGGTATACTGCACAGGTAAGGAAACATTTAAGTGCACTTGTCCAATTTTAAATACATTTAGTTCAAAACCCATTATACTCATTCCTACATTGGGTCACTTGCCCAAATAGGAAGGTTCCTGCATCAGAGAAATTTTTATGTTCTCCAGACCAACTTTCTCATTTAAGGTGTATTTGGTAAAACCAGTAATAATGGTTTGCCATTATGCCAAATGAGTAAATCCAGTCAAACTGGTATATATCTTTTAATCAACTTTAAAAAATGACACTTACTACATTCTCTCCATCAGAATACCAGGGTATGTTAGATGATTTCAGGACATGAAGAACCAAGTGTCAAAGCACAGTGGCTTACCTAGTGAGGACACAAAGACGACACCAAGGCCCACGCCCAGGGGCGCCCCCATGTTCAGAAACTTCTCACTGGGTGCACACATGGCCACGGTGGAGAGGCCTCCCACAATGCCAGCCGTGTACCATGCAGCTCTGACGAGAAGAGGCCCCCCTAGCATCGTCAGCGGAGCCACCACAGCACCCATCACACCTGGAGGAAGAGCACGTGGGCACTGAAGCATTTACTACGTAACAACCAAGAGGAAAATGCTTCTAACTAACCTGCCTTTTAACATATTAGAGCTTACTGTTCAACAACAGGACTATAGAGTCTTCTCATTTAGCTAACAGTAGCCCCAAAGCTCCTAAGCTAAAACTTATACCTATCCAAATTCTAAATCACAAAGGTAAGACCATTTCTAGCCAAAGAGTCAATACTCACAAGTATAAATACTAGTCTAGATTTTTAGTAACTTTGTCAAAGTCAATGTAGCTCATTATTTGGATCTGAGTCTACCAAGTTTTTATAATAACATTCACATTTAGAAGAAATGAGATGAAGAAAAGGCTTAAAATAACTTTTTAAAAAAGCAGCAAATGCATACTATGTTATAAATAATTTTCTTCTTAAAAGCAGGATACTGGTATTAAAAGAAAATACTGGGATCTCTGCCTTCCCATTCACTAAAGTTCTGTCCTGTAAAGCTCCATGGAAAATACCTATGGTTGAATTACCTAAGACCTACTGGGAGACAGACTTGAAAGCCAAGGTTGGGAAGTCATGCTGTCTCATATTCACCCAAACAAAGACAGCACATGAATATAAATGATGTATTTCACATTGGAAATTCATCATATTGGGTGCCCCAAACCTAATTTCCATGTACTAACCCATGTTAAAAACATTTCAGTCTCTTTCCCTGGAAGTTTCATGGTAATGCTTAAAGAATTTGTCTTATTTTGTGGTAGGGAACATGCATCCAAGAAGCATTTTTGTTCTGCACCTGGCTGGCTCTTTACTCAACCCAGAGGCAGATACTTGTCATGGAAAATACTTTATGTAAACAAGCATGTGCTGTTCCATAATTAAGGAGACTATTACAAATACCTCAAAGAATAATAAAACTGTTACAGAATACCAGGGTTGGACAGCCTCTGCCTTGCCGACAGTAACTTTGGGTCAAGAACTATCTAAATAAATATCGATCCAGCTAATGGTGTCACATGAGCTGTACAGAAGTACAGCTAATTAGAAGTACATTTCCAAGGATCTTTTTGATTGCTTTCTTCCCTATATTCCACTGCAAAAACCTCTGCTCTTATTTTTACCTCCTCTTTCCCTGGTGGAGACCTTCAGTTTTTTATTTTCTGAAAGATACACAATAAGAGCAATTCTTAAGTGATGTGTACCAGATCTGAAATCCTCCTGGTATTAGACAAAATACATAAAAAGAAACCTCTGCCTATCTAGGATATTACCTGAGAACAGTGTAACACCGGGGCTTTCCATGGTCTTAGTATCAGAAATATTAACTTGCCAGAATGGAGCTCTGGCAATAATACAACCAGAAATAAGAGCAGGAAACTAAGTGTTTAGTAGACATGAGGCTTAACTCAATTGTGTGTGTATCATTTATGACCGTGAAGAGCCACCAAAAGAGGCAGTATTTAAGACTGTTTAGTAACAACTCTAAAACAACATACCAGAATGGAGTAACCAAGCAAGGTGCTTTGGGCCTGGGCTCTGCTCAAATGATATTGACTGTACCAGCACTCCAGCTCCAATCATGGCTGCAAAGGTTGCACCAATAGTCTGAAAGACATGTGTTACTAGGCAAAACTGATCCTTACACAACAACAAAGCAGAACCCACAAGTTCCAAGTTCAGTTAGTCCTTCCAATAGACTATGCTTAAAAAGATGAATAATAATAAACAGAATCCTTTATTTTTCTAGCACATTAAAAGGCCTTGTGCTTACTTCAGTTTGATCAAATTAGCAAGAGCACCCCCTACTGTCATACATAAAGTTTTGCAGACAACTTCAAGTAAACGAGTTTTTATTCTGGGCTTACCTGGTGGTCCAGTAGTTAGGAATCCACCCTGCAATGCTAGGGAACACCTATTTGATCCCTGGTCCGGGAGTATCCCACATGCCACGAAGTAACTAGGCCTGTGCACCACAACTGCTGGGCCTGTGTTCTAGAGCCCAGGAGCCACAGCTACCGAGCCCACATGCCTAGAGCCTGAGCTCCACAACAAGAGAAGCCACAGCAGTGGGCGGTCATGCACCACAACTAGAGTGGGCCCCGCATGCGGCAACTAGAGAGCCCCTGTGAACCAACAAGGGCCCGCCACAGTCAAATAAACATGTAAAAATAAATCTTTAAAAAATGTTATTCCTGTTAGACAGAGGTGTAACAAAACCACTTTACAAATCCCAGAACAATTATTTTAGATTACATTTATTTTGGCATAGCACCAACATTAAAATCAATGTCATGATACACCAATTAGAACATATATGGTACACTGCCTTAAACTCTATTCTCTAAATGAAAACTTGAAAAATAGGAGCACATAAAAAAGATGAGAAATAAAGAGTCTTTGTTTCTATCCTCCCAGTTTTTTGGCTCAATTGGCCCTCATCCCTCTTCTTTGCCTGTGTTAGATTTCCACTGTAATACATTTATATATTCTGTGTGCACAAGAAAGAAATGTTTGTAAAGCAAGAAAGATGATAATCTTCAGGAAATTTAAGGCAGAAATTGCATACTTGCAGCCCTTTGGCAAGATTTAGGCAGTAGACATTTTGTTTGGCCAACTATTCAAACAAACAAACAAAAGTGAATTCATTTAGTTGGGAAGGCTTTCTCTAGATGCCAATAATCCTGTGTAGCATACCAGGCCTGTCTCACTCATCTGCCTCATCTGTCTGAACCAAGGACATCTGAATGGTCAACCTCTGTGGTAAAGTACAGGTAAATGTAACAGCTATTTTTGCTGAGAATGGGAAAGCCTTCACTCATAATACAGAATAGCACACTGGATTCTACTCCAACATCTTCCAACGGAGAAACAATTCCTAAAAGCTACTTCATGGATCTCTGCATTTTCAGGGTATTTAACACAATTGTGTATTTTTCTTTCAAAATCCTTCATGACACAGGTCCATTTTTTGCCTTTTACCTTCCCATACTCTACACTTCAGCCACAGTGAACTGATATACTGCAAACACATCCCAGTTTCATGCCTCTTTAATTCTGCTTATTGTGCCAAAAAATACCTCTCTTCCTATCTGGCTGACATATTCAAGGATTACTTCCTTGAGAAAGTTTTCTTAGTAGGTACCATGGCTGTTATAAGCAGCGTCAGATGTCTCTACTCTTTCAAAAGCACAAACTTTGTGTTTGGTACTTTGACATCATGCGTATGCCTGTCACCTTCCAAAGGCTTCTTCATCTCTGTAGCACCTGTCTGGCTTTCTAAACTATTTTACTTAAGCAGCCCTAACAGCAGGTGAGACTAATCTTATGCCTACAGGCACCTGAGAATATGGTTCAAGAACAAAACTTCCTTGAAGTCTTATTTTAGGGGTTAAACTCTTTTGTATATTTTAATCTTTCATGTTTGCTTTATTATAAAAGCACTGCTTTAAACTGTTTACCCCATTAAAACTGACATACCTGATGAAAATGCAACAAGCTGATTCTGTGCCTCCAATAACCTTGAGGCTAGGAGATCCTTATACCCATCTGAGAAGTAAGACCCTAATACTCAAGCATCCAAATGGCTATATAACTGCAAATGGTTCTCCTTTTGGAAAGTACAGTATAGTGGAAATATTACAGATTTGGAAGTCATGGGGATCTGGATTGCCAAGAGAAGAATGGAAAGAATCAGTGTGAATTTACCATGAGAAGTCTCTAAGTATATTAGATAACTTTCCCATCTCACCTTCCTTTCCAGTCTCTCACTACTGCTTTAGTTTGGGTCTTATCCCTCGTTTCAGACCTTGAAGAGACACAGCTGGTACACTTGCTTCTCGTCTCTTCCACAATAGCTCTTAAAGCTCAAATACACTTCATACTTTTGCTGTTCCAGTATCTGCAACGGCCTCTGTTAGGCACTCTCCGCAGCCTGGCAATCAAACACATCCTTTCTAATTGTGTCTTCTTTACACTCCAAATCTCAAATGCTCAAACTTCACTTGAATGGGATTATAAAGTCACTTGTAGTGACTACCTTCTCTCCTCTTTCCAAACTGTTACGAAACTGGACTACTCTGTCCTCTGAAATGAAACTCTCATTGAATATAAAGCCTTACATAGGTTCAAGGAGAATTCAGAGTAACAGTAGCAGTATTATTCTACTCTTAGAGTAGCTTGGGTTTTTGTGACAGCTATTTTCCTTGATCTCTAAGATGGGATTTTCATCTGCCTTATTTTTTAGTGAACTCCTATAAAATAGAGCTGTTTTAAATCTCCTACTAGATAACGTAGGATGTTTCCTCTAAGTTTAAGTTCCAACACCTTTACTGATACTAAAATACATATTCAACATGGAATAATACCTGACTTGCCTAAGAATGTATATCCCACTTTGTTTCAGCTGCACCAACAATTCATATATTACCTGAGCAAAAACGTATTTAATATAGTAAGGTATTCTTTCCACTTAATACCCCTGCTCCAATAGTTTTCATCTAATCTTTTGCTATTTAGTGGGAAAGGAAAACAAAAACAAGCCGACTTACTATCCAAGAGCCTCTCATCATGAAGTTCATGAGAGCAGGAGTTCTGCTCACTGCCACGGCAGACAAAGCTGTTAAGCCAATACTCCCTGCTAAGTACATGTAAGTGGAATGAATTCTATCCTTCACATACTGAGGCCAGATTCTGTAAGAAACACAACATGGTTAATTTACAGGATTATGAATGTGAATCTTGGTTGAATCATTTACTGGCTGGGAGACCTGGATAATTTAGAGCATTTTATTGCTGTAAATTTTATTCCATTATCTAGGAAATAATTATGTGTATGTTGGAGTTATGATAAAAAGTAACAAAATATATATAAGCACTTGGCATATATACAAGACAACACATTTTTCCTTAAACACATATAACTGTGGTAAAGATTTCTGTTTACTTTCAATAAACAGATGCCAAGGAAATAGATTGTTTTTACTCATGTGTATCTCCACACAGCTGGAACACTGGACATAAAAGATTCCAAAAGTGGCAAAAAATAAAGATGAGAAGAAAACTGGAAGCATTAAGGCTAGAATTGTTTGGGAACAATTTACTTACACAGCTTTTTCAATAGCTCCGATCTCATTAGACATTCCCAATCCATAGTAGCACAAAGCTCCAAGACCAACTGCAGCCCCTCCAGCAATAAACCATCTTCCCATCTGATCAACTGCAGAACACAGGAGGAGATGCACATTAATACTGTTGTTCTTGACTAACATGATCAGACTTAATTAATCTGTAATTTCACTCTAACAAAATATTAGGATGCACTGTTATCTGCAGATGCAGGGGTACTTCTGTGATACACACTATTTTATTCATAAGAGGTTTATATTCTCATGGCACTCTTAGAAATTAAACATTTTCAGTCAAATGTTATACAGTGCTATTAACAAAGATGATCAAAAAAAAAGAACCAAAGAAAAATGTAATTAGTGTTTATGAAGCTAAATCAAGGGAGAGGGTGCTTTTGTTTTCAAGAGTACTAAGAAAGAAACAATTTATCAACTCTTAACTGTATGGAGATATTAACAAAGAGCCTCTTACTCCCTTTAGTGAAAGTCTATTCACTAAGAATGTTACTATGTGCTGAGATGACTCATATAATTTGATTTCTAGGGCCAACTGACCAATAGAAATGCCCTGAGGAATGCCAAGTAGGGCTCTCTCCCATATGCATACAGACGGTACCCAACTGAAGATTTTTCAACTTTACAAAGATGCAGAAACAATATGCAGTCAAGTAAAAACTGCACTTTAAATTTTTAATTTTGATCTTTTCCTGGGTTACTGATAGGCAATATAATAGTTTCCTATGATGCAGGGCAGAGACAGTAAGCCACAGCGCCCATTCAGCCAGTTGATTGTGTGGGTAGACAACCCATACACTTATAACCATTCTGTACTCACCCAACAAGTCTGTTTTTCACCTTCAGGATTCAACAAATCACAGGAAGGAATCAACACTGTATAAAATAGTTTTGCCCAACTTTAGGCAAATGTTATGTATTCTCAACGCATTTAAGGTAGGCTAAGCTAAGCTACGATATTCAGAAGGTTAGGTATATTAAGTGTATCCTGCACTTCAGAGCATCTTCAACTTATGATGGGTTTATCAAGATGTAACTCCATTTTAAGTCAGGGAAGATAGGTAGTAACCTTTTGCAAGGGTGTTAAGTAGTGTTCTTTGACTTTGGGTAGATGACCAGTCAAGATTCTGAGGTTGCAAAGCTGAAAGCCAAGCTGTGGACTAAGGTGATTTCATTAAGGTATTGCTTCCTGAAGGGCCCTAAATGGGCCCTTCTTTTTTTTTAATTAACACCTATGTTTTGATGATTTACTCCTGTCCTGAAATATATACAAATATTATGTCTGAGTAAGAGTCTACACAACTTCAAATGACTTCATTAACAGATTATAACTTTCAGATTATAGCATAATAACTAATAACCCTTTAAAAAAAATGGTGAAAGAAATTTTTTTCTGGGAGAAATCTGACTGGGAACCACTGAGCCCAGAGCCAAGTAGCAATCTTTGCAGGGTCATCAGATCCCTGAGGATGACTGCCCTTCTTCTCACAAGACGCACATATATACAAGTTTGCATACATTTTAAGGTTGTTCATGGGCCTCTTAAAAGAGTTTACTAAAGGTTGCCACCTACTTTTAAATATTTTTTCCACTGATGGTTCCAAAGCTGCCTCCTTGAGTTCTTGGGTTGTTTTTCCACGTCGAAACCCAATTCTTGTCCTGGTGGCATATTCCTGACATAAATGAAAACAAAGATACATACCACCCACATAAAAGAATGTTAACAATAAAACAGAGGATCTTGACACTCTAGATAACTCTGTAAAAAGTAACTTGATACTTTCTATGTGTGTAACTTCACTATGAATGAAGCTTAGCTAATCTTTAAAAAATTAAATGTAGATCCTACCTGTACTCTAGGCTTTGAAGTGATTCACTAATTCATTACAATCTAACTTCTGAGTTCAAGTTTCAGAATTACTTATTTCATGAACTATGAATTTTATTTATACTTCTAGACTTACCATTTTAAACACTAACTTTGAAAAGATATGCATTCAGTAAGTGTTAAAACTACATTTCTCTTCTGGGAAATGGGCTCAATTCTTCCCTCAACACAAAGTCAAACGGAGAGAGGACTTCTACCAGTATTTCAGCTTTTTCAACAGTGAAACAGTTAATTTAAGAAAAAAGTTGTTTCTCTTAGGTTCTGTACATTTCCATCTACCTCACATTTTAAAATTTATACTCCTAATCTGAATGCTAGAGCAGAAATCTAGTTTGAAAGGAAATGGGTTTCTCTCTAACCTGACGGATTTTATTTTACCACTCTCTAAGCAAGAGCTGAAATGACATGGTTAGCAACTGGCCAGCTGGTAATATTCCCAGGGTCTTAAGCTTTTGACAACAGGATCCACCATTTCTTTGTTGAACCATATGGCTCTCAATCCTTCACAAATTACTCTAAATTCTCTGAATGAGAAACTCCAAGAGCTGTAAGTAAAGGAGAAGTTACAGGGGTTCTTTTTCATGTGTGATGAGGACAGAACAGAATGGTAAGAAACCTATAGGGAGAGAGTGCTGATTTGGGGCTTTTTCAGGGTTGTTTCAGTTAATCACTAATGATAAAGTAGGGAGCTTCATGCTTTGTCAAAAAAAAAAAAAGGTCCTAGGAGCATACAGACAGACAGACAATATAAAAATATTATCTTTACCCTGCTGGGTGTTAAAAGCCATTGATTCTTGGTGATGGAATTCTTCACAACAGGGGAGGCCTTGGTGAAAGCTGGGTGGAAAACCCTGGAAGGTAGTGCTCGGAGACACACAAGTCTTGCGGCCAGCATGGTGGTGTACCGGGTTTACCAAGCAGATCTGAAATGCTAGAGACAGACAAAAATAACCCATTAACCAACTGAAGGAAGGACGCAGAAGAGATTAAAGCCAGTCATTTTCTAGTGGAAAAGATCAAGTAAAGAGACATTTTAAAGCAATAATAATAAATACTCTGCTTGTTTCTTGTTAGTTCAAGAAATCCATCCCACAAAAAGTTTGAGATAGATCACCAAAATGGGCTTAAATCTCAACAGGAACAGTAACAGAGAAATAACTTGTTTGAGTTACATGGTTAATAGAGAATTAAAAGGGTGTGTGATGGATTTTATAAACGTGGTTTTGGCTGAAGATTTATACCAGTATTCAGCGGGAAATTAGAAAAGAGGGCTAATAATAACTTTGAGCAGAGGAAAAAATGCCATCCAAATAAATGATTAACTCTTCAAGGTCATATTACTTTTCAAGGCTATAAAAAACATCAGTGGAAACCAAACATGCCAAATGTTGTTGTTTAATTAAGTCCAAGGGGGTCTTCTCAACCCCATGGACTGCAGCATGCCAGGCTCCTCTGTCCTGGATTTCCCAGGCAAGAATACTGGAGTAGGCTGCCATATCCTTCTCCAGAGGATCTTCCCCACCCAGAGACTGACCCTGAGGTTCCTGCATTGGTAGGCAGATATTTCATCACTGAGCCACCTGGGAAGCCCATGCTAAGTATTACTTCCCTTCGAAATAAAATATAAAAATATTCAAGGCACTGAAACCACCTGGGATATATCTTAAAAATGTAGATTTCTATGTCTTACTCCTGTTCTAATGATTTAACCCCTAGAAGAAAGACACAAGTTATATGTATTTTAACAAGCATCTCAAAAGCTAAGAATTCTTGCTTTTAAATATCTGAGTATATTTCCAGATCTGTCACGGGATCGGCGAGGTGCACAACACTGATAAATATCCTTCGGTAAAATACCATGTCATTCTAGCACTTTCACGCCATTACATCATCTCAGCCTAAAGCTGCTGTGCTTCTCAGTCCTCAACACACCTACACAGGAACGCCAGTTCAGTGGCCTCCAAGGTGGCAATTCTGCTTTTACCGTAAGAAAATAGTGGCCTCGTGCACAGGTTTGTTCTCTTAAACTCAGGGGCCTTAGCTACAGAATGCGTAATGTTACCGAGCCCTTACGCTTCCGTGCACATTCATGAGCTCAGGCGTTTGGTCCTCAGAGAAAGTTCACCCTTATCACAAGACTCGAATGAGAGCCGGGCAGCCAAACTCGCACCACTCTACAACACACCAGACTCGGGATCCCCTTATCTACTAGGGCGGCGGCTAGGCCGCTCGGCCGCGGAGATGAATCAGCACCTCGCTGCCCAAGAAGAGGACAGAGAGGACTAGCCCCTGCCCGCCTACCCCAGGTCCCGCAGCCGCAACCCCCTCCACAGGGTCACCTGCAGAAAACTGACGGGCCGCCAGGCCGTGACGCAGTCTGCAGCGCCGCAGCCTCCGACCTTCCCACACGTCGGCAGCGGCCCCAGAGGGCCGACAGTCAGTAGTAAAGAGTATCGCGGTACCTGTCGGCCCGGGGGAGTCGTACCTCAGTCCCTGGACACCTCAAGCACGCAGTTCCCCCTCCGGGCCGGTGAAACTCAAGCACCCAAACCTCCCGCTCCCTCCGCCCCCCTCTTACTGACTGTGCGCGCAGTCTCCTTAGCTCACTGCGTGACGCAACATCCGGAGAAGCCGCAAACACTACGACGGACAGCCAATCATGAGCGGAGCCCTAACGGAAGGGTGGGCATAGTAGGAAGAGGGGTTCCGGGTTAGGGGGCGGGGCCAGCGGAGCCCGGTTAAGAGCGTCACAGTCAACGTCCGTTGTGGGTGTGAGCAGAGAAGGCGTTTCAGCAGTCTTTGCTGAGGACAGTGGGATGTTCTTTCGTTCTGGTGTCAACGGCAGGAATTACAAAAATTATTTTAAAACTGAAAGAGGATAGTATGAGAACTAAAAATTATTCTTTCGCCGCGTTTCTTTCCACTTGTTGCCTTTTTACGCCTTCTCAAGAACTTATTGCGAGATAGTATGCCAAATTGGGAGTTTCAGACCGGAACCAACCGGTTTTCTGGGTACGATGTGAACTCTACAAAAGGGTGTGAGTCACACAAGGTCGGAGAGCGAACAGGCAGATTTTTAGAAGTTTATTTCATTGTTTTGTGAGTTACCCACGACATAAGTTAAAGGTTCAGCGAATACTTGAATAATGGGTTAGTACAACAGGTTCTGCCTCTTATCCAGGGTTCTGAGAACTGCTCCTATTCAGATAATTTGTAAATTGAAAAACCTTTTTTTGGTACTCGAGGAAGACTTTTTTCCTCCGGTCTTATTTACTGAGGCTAACTTTGTACCAAGCTCTGTACTAGGGACACATACAAATAAAAGATAACATTGTACCGTTGTTTTTGGCAAAACAAAGGTACTATGGTGTTTACTCTGGTGGAGACGAAAAATTGACAAAATATTTGTTAGTGATAAGTACTAAGAAGAAAAATAAAGCTGCGTAAAACACTAGAGGGGCGGTATTTCGATAAAGGTCATTAACAACATGTAAAATTCATGAACCTTATCTAAGCTATTGTTAATTGTGATTTATGATACTCCTCTAACCATGTAAATCTTGACACAAAGATTTGTGTTTTATGTGGGTAATAAAACTGACAGCTCACACACAGTTGTTTCTTTACCCTGAAAATGGCAGGAAAATACTGTAGAGAAATCTGTCACTTGAGATTGTGAACAGATCATGAATAATCTTTAGGCTGGTATTGTTTCCACAGTTGTTAAGTGTTTTTAGGAAGGCGAGTTATCTAGTCACATCACCGGGAAGATATGCTTAGTGTCGGAGAGGTTTCATTGACTTAGAAACCAGTTAGGCATCTATTGCAATTGTTTAAGCAAAAAGTGACCAAAGTTGGAATTAAGGCAGTGGAGGGACAGAGAGGGGATTTATGACAGAGGTAAAAGAGTGAGGAGGAATTTGCAGGTTTTAATGACTGATTGAATGTAGCTGATAAGGATGAGGGAGGTACTCAACATAATCCCTCTACTAAATGGAGTGAAATCGGCTGGATAACTGCACCATTAATTTCGAGGTAGGATACAGGAAGAGCTACAAATGTGGGGGAAGTAGATAAAACTCAGTATGAAGTGTTCCATTGTAAGTTCTCTGATTCTAAGACCTTGGCGCTGTAGGACAGATAACAGAAAAAGTCATTAATCACTATTCCTAATGTAGGTACACTGTGCTCAGCGTGTCCTACTCTTTGCAGCCCCATGGACTGTAGCCTGCCAGGCTCTTCTGTCCATGGAATTTTCCAGGCAAGAATATTGGAGGGGATTGCTGTTCATCTGTTGATAGAGGCGTCCATACTTTGGCAATTGTAAGTAATGCTACTATGAACACTGGGGTGTATGCGTCTTTTCAAATTAGTATTTCTGTTCCCTTCCCCACCCCCCAATATCTCCCAGGGAGTGGAAGCTCTGGGTCATATAGTAGTCATTTGTTCAGTTGTTTTGAGAAACCTCCATTCTTTTTTTTTTCCATTTATTTTTTATTGGAGGCTAATTACTTTATAGTATTGTAGTGGTTTTTGCCATACATTGACATGAATCAGTCACGGGTGTACATGTGGTCCCCATCCTGAACCTCCCTCCCACCTCCCTCCCCATCCCATACCTCTGGGTCATCCCAGTGCACCAGCCCCGAACACTCGTGTCATGCATCCAACCTGAACTGGCGATCTGTTTCACACTTGATAATATACATGTTTTGATGCTGTTCTCTCAGATCATCCCACCCTTGCCTTCTCCCATAGAGTCCAAAAGTCTGTTCTATACATCTGTGTCTCTTTTTCTGTCTTGCACATAGGGTTATCGTTACCATCTTTCTAAATTCCATATATATGCGTTAGTATACTGTATTGGTCTTTATCTTTCTGGCTTACTTCACTCTGTATAATGGGCTCCAGTTTGATCCATCTCATTAGAACTGATTCAAATGTATTCTTTTTAATGGCTGAGTAATATTCCATTGTGCATATGTACCACAGCTTTCTTATCCATTCATCTGCTGATGGGCATCTAGGTTGCTTCCATGTCCTGGCTATTATAAACAGTGCTGTGATGAACATTGGGGTACACATGTCTCTGAAAGAGACACGTGTGTTTCCTCGTTGTGTATGCTCAGGAGTGGGATTGCTGGGTCATATGGCAGTTCTATTTCCAGTCTTTTAAGGAATCTCCACACTGTTCTCCATAGCGGCTGTACTAGTTTGCATTCCCACCAACAGTGTAAGAGGGTTCCCTTTTCTCCACACCCTCTCCAGCATTTATTGCTTGTAGACTTTTGGATAGCAGCCATTCTGACTGGCATGTAATGGTACCTCATTGAGGTTTTGATTTGCATTTCTCTGATAATGAGTGACATTGAGTATTTTTTCATGTGTTTGTTAGCCATCTGTATGTCTTCTTTGGAGAAATGCCTGTTTAGTTCTTTGGCCCATTTTTTGATTGGGTCATTTATTTTTCTGGAATTGAGCTGCAGGTGTTGCTTGTATATTTTTGAGATTAATCCTTTGTTTCTTCATTTGCTATTATTTTCTCCCATTCTGAAGGCTGTCTTTTCACCTTGCTTATAGTTTCCTTTGTTGTGCAAAAGGTTTTAAGTTTCATTAGGTCCCATTTGTTTATTTTTGCTTTTATTTCCAATATTTTGGGAGGTGGGTCATAGAGGATCTTGCTGTGATTTATGTTGGAGAGTGTTTTGTCTATGTTCTCCTCTAGGAGTTTTATAGTTTCTGGTCTTACATTTAGATCTTTAATCCATTTTGAGTTTATTTTTGTGTATGGTGTTAGAACATGTTCTAGTTTCATTCTTTTACAAGTGGTTTACCAGTTTTCCCAGCACCACTTGTTAAAGAGGTTGTCTTTTCCATTGTATATTCTTGCCTCCT